AGAGTAAAAATACTCATTCCATTGGCAAACAATCTCATTTACCTGCTCAAATTAAGGGTGAATACACTTAATTTAAGAAATATTGACTTATTTTATGTTGTTTTTGCAATGTTGAAGGGCTGCTGTATAAAGCCCGGAGCTCAACACTATTTCTGACATTTTGAATTGGAAAAACTTCCTGCATGGGAAGAGAAACATCTTCAAACTTAAGGTCCAGTGGATTGTTTTTTAACTGTTTTGGAATGACAATGACCTGGATGACTGCTCAACCTCATCTAAGCTGTTCTTTGACTCCCCATTCCAGCGGCCCTCCAGGCCCTGAAGAGGAAAAAGCGCTATGAGAAGCAGCTGGCCCAGATTGACGGGACGCTGTCCACCATTGAGTTCCAGAGGGAGGCTTTGGAGAACGCAAACACCAACACAGAAGTGCTGAAAAACATGGGCTTTGCTGCCAAAGCCATGAAGGCCGCTCACGAAAACATGTGAGTCGCGTTTCAGATTAATCCGTTTTCTTTGTATTTCTCAATTAACGCCCGTTAACCATTTCTTTTATTCCGTTTCTTTTCCGGCATCCTCGTTGCCTTCCACGCCACCTCCTTCCCATCTCGTCTCCCTGCAAACAGGGACATAGACAAAGTAGACGACCTGATGGCTGAAATCACGGAGCAGCAGGAAGTGTCCCAGGAAATCGCAGACGCCATCTCCAGACCGGTCGGCTTTGGGGAGGAGTTTGACGAGGTAAGATCCCATCAGACCCCAAACACATCAGCTAAGAGGCAGCTGTTGCATTCAGATTGTATTTTAATCAGATGGAAGATTCCCTTCCTCTTCTTTATCTTCAGGCTAAAACCTGAAGTTGGTAACAGTGGATATAACTGGTAGATGACAGCGTTTGTTTCTGTGTCTCTGCTCAGGATGAGCTCATTGCTGAGCTGGAGGAGCTGGAGCAGGAAGAGTTGGACAAAAACCTTTTGGAAATCGAAGGAACGGAAGACGTTCCCCTGCCGAGCGTACCATTTACGTCGCTCCCAGCTAAACCAGGTAGGAGGACGCGCGTCGATGCGGCTTCTTTTCTCAGCTCCATTACTGCTCAATTCAAAGAGAAAATAAAACATTTTTATTCCCTGTTTTCTTTAGCCAAGAAGAAGGTAGAAGAAGACGAGGACGACATGGCGGACCTGGAGGCCTGGGCGGCTAACTGAGCCGGGTCCTCCTGCTCCTCGCCAGCAGCCCGCCCCCTGCTGGCAGAGCAGCAGAGACTCAGGGCTGCACTGCTGGCTGCTCCATCCTAAAGCCTCCATCCGGACGTCTACCACAGCACCTCTAGTTTGCACATGGATGAAAAAACTGGAACGAGAAGAGCTCAGGCTTCGCTCTACAGATTAAAGTTGCAGGATGAGTCTCTTTGCCAAACTCTGCTCCTTTTTCTAGGAGGTCAAAGAGTGAAAGAAATGCCCCCCCCTTTTTACAAAAACAGCCTGTGGCTCCTGTGTGTGTCTGAGTGTGCGTGCATACTGCGAGGGTACGGTGTGAGGAGGTACATGATGAGGCCTGCCTCTGGAGGAATGTGAAGAATCAACCTCTGCACACAAAAAGAAACGCGTTACACGGCGCCCATTCACTCTGCTTCCTGTCACTATCCGTTCACTCCTCCGCAAAGACAACTTCAACCTATTTTTGCTGAGTCCCCAAAGCAGCAAGCGTCTGTAAAAAGTAGGATTGGTACGGAAATGTCAGATTAATAAACAATGTTTTCGCTCTTGTTCTAGAAGTTTGTATTGGATTGAAACATCTGGAAACTCTGGGTTTATTTTTCCTCTCATCTGCCTCTGTTAAAACATTCGTTTTAACACCTCTAGATCTGTTTTATCGGCTTAATAAAATCAGGATTATTTTTCTTTTGAATAAAAATGTGAGAAACTTTCTTTTTAAAGCTTCAGTTATCCAAATATCAGCGCACAGCTGTAGCGGACGCTTAGATTTCCTTCCATTTCAGCAAAATATTAGTTAATATTAATTCCCTTTGCTGGACTTGTAAAATGCTTTGCGTATGAATGAAGTTGATCCAATTAGACGAGAAAGAACAACCTCTGAGATTCAGTCAGTTGTGCAGGAAGAACAAGCTCCAACTTGCAAATCTGAAATCAGGATGGTTTAGAGATGGGAGGTTCCTCCTTTTCTCAGTCTTATATAAATTATTTAAATGTCTGAAATGCATGAAAGATTTATAGGAATGAATAAAGGAAAATGTGTTTTTATTCAGGAGAAAGGATCCATATTAAGACCTTCAGTTCATTAAAACCAAACTTCACTATAAAATTTTTTTTTTCAGATTGTTTAGAAATAAAATCACCCATTAAAGCTCTTTTAATAATCTGATCGACTTGTTCCAGCATTGCAACCTTTGGGGTAGATGAACCTGTGCCTGACACCTCCTGCGCCTTTGCCTGTCTTGTTTACTGATGACTCCGTGTGATTAAAATCATAAGTTATGTTTGAGATGTGTGATTTATTTTATTTTTTTGAATGCGGTTGTCGAGTTTGCCTCCATTCTTGAACGGACTGATGGGAACCAGCTGGTTCTCAGTTGATCTTTCTGCTGAAATCCTGATGCAATGGAGCTCCTACTCACTGCCTGGCCCTTCATGGCTGCTGCCACCCTCCCCTGTTTGTCTGCAGGACAGCTTTAATAAGCACCTGTAGGCTATAACCCTTTTTTTTAGTTCTACATAAAAAAAAGAATGCTGGTATTTCTGTATCTGCTTACCTCAGATATTCACGTTCTTCCTGACTGTAAACGATCTTACTGGATATTTGGCTCGGAGCAGTTTCCGTTTCACTGTTACCGATGGGTTGTACAGTAAAGGTTACCTAAATAAAGTTTGGATTCAATGTATTTTAAGAATTGTTGCTTCATTGAATAAAAGAATTAGATTTATATGCATTTTTTAACCATTGCTGGTTGATTTTGTTGGTTTTATTATTATTCACACAAACTTAGTGCTGGTTTTCGTTAGAAAAGCAAGCGTTCTGTCTTTTAATGTTCCTGCTTCTGCTTTAAGTGATGCTGGGAGGTCTGGAGTTTTTTTTTTTTTTTTTTACATTTTATATAAGTACAATTTCCAGTGAACAATCGCCAGGGGTTTGAACAAAATAATAAAAAAATGACGGAATAAAAGTAAAAATAGTAATAGTGATTAAGTAAAGCCATCGAACTTCTGGCCAGAGAAAAAACCCGTAATATGTAGCCAACATTTGGAAGAAGAA